GCCGCCGCCCCCCGGCTCCTCCCGCGCCAGGTACAGCCCCCGGCGCCCTGCAGTGGGGGGACCCCCAGCCCCGTCCTGGGAGCCCTCCTCCCCCTGCATCGGGTTCGGCCCCAGCACAGGCTGTCCGGATCCGAGCCAGGTGGCTCCCCCGGGGCAGTGGGACGGGCTCAGGCTGTGCCTGCCAGGCCTGTGGATGGACCTGGCACCACCCGTCTGGTCCCTGGAGCAAAAGGGTTGGGGTCCGCTGCCCTAGCAAAGTGGTTCTTTTATTTCTTTTGCGCTCAAGGAAAACATGAAAGCGAAGAGCTGGCATTTCCCAAGGGGGAGCAGAGCCAACAAGGTCGAGAGCCACCGCCACAGCTCAGTGGCACTAAAGCGAGTATGAGGCTCTGCCCTGGCGGTGAAGCGTGGGGCTGGGGGTGTCCTGTCAGCTCCTGCTGGTGGCTCCCTGGTCGGCCGCCAGCTCCTGATCTCCTTCCTACCGCCTCCCTCATCCTCGCAGCCGCCTGGAGGCAGTGTGCTCGGGTATAGACGGGACAGCCGCCTGTGGCAGAAGCGATGTTAGGGCTAGGTAAAATCGGTACAGCTGTTCTTCCAAGCTGTGTTGGGCTAGTTGACGGCAGTTAAATGGCCGTCTGTGCTATCAGGCTTCCAAGTCCACGGTAGGCCATTAATCTAATGGAATAATTCTTAAATGGCATTTCTGTGTCAAGTTTCAGAGTCACGTCTATTATAGCTCTTCAAATGACATTTAAACTTCTTGAATACCTGCTGTCAGGCTAAAGTTTTCCTTGTTTGGTCTCTGGTCAAAAGTAACTAGAAAATGAGTCATCAGTTGTGTTTATATTAAGACACGGTGTACATTTTTGAAGAGGTTGTTTTTTTTTTAAGGGGAAATTTCTGTTTGTGCATTCTCTACTAGTGCTCTAGTAAAAGCACCTGAAGTCGGCAACTTGAGAGGCTAGACAGAACTTTCTCTTTGAAGACTAGTGTGTGTAAATATTTTGACAGAAATAGCAGCAATTAAGTTTGCAATGTGTGCACTCTATGGAGTACATTTCAGTCCAAGTAGAGAACTGTGCATTTCAGTTTTGATCCAGCAAAGTATATTTTTGTGCTTGCAAGTGTGTTTTTAGCCTAACCTAGTGCATCTCCCCTCCATGACAGCTCTAGTACATTAAATTTTGTAGGTTAAGTACAAAGGCAAATACACATTCTAATAAATGCTGTATTTTAAAGATTCCATAAGGTATAAACAACTTCTTGTCTTCCACTTGTGAACTCCTTTTATCTCCTTCCATCTCTACTTAAGTTTCCTTTTTTTCTCATTCTTAATTTTAAACTGTTCTTGTCACATGGGGAGGAGGAGAAAGAATAACAATTAAAGGCTAGCTCTTATTTAAGAAATGCTGATTTATCTAGATGCACATAACAGTGTGCATCCTTTTTAAGGATATAATCCAGCTAAGCATTTGTCAAACTACAGTTTCACAACCTAAAGCTAGAATATGCAGTTGAATCTACTGAGATTACCCTGTTGGCTTTATTGGTGCTCTTGCCAGACAGATCCGTTTACAAAAGTCACCTGTTTGTTTTTTCCTTTTTAACTGCACTGATGGTTGTTGGATGTTAAAAAAGAAAACCTCTTTATTTTTATTTCTTCTCACTGCTTAAGCAAAAAACCCCAAATACTCCTTGTATGTGGAGATGCAGTAGCTGGACGGAAGGAAATCTGTGTCTTGAAGATTGTAGGAACAATGACATCTAGTTTCTTTATGTTTCATTCTAAGATCAGATGAACAAAGATCTAAAAAATACAACTTTTTTCCTTCCCAAAGGAATTAGAAGCCATATGTGTTCAACTACAACCGGGGCAGATGAAGGAAAATGAAAGGCCAGCACCATCTCTGGCACCAATCCAGTCTAATGCTGTAACACTGAGTCAGCTGGACAGTAGGGATTCCAATATATCAGGACTCAGCATTATCAATCCCCAGATCATTAGGATACAGCCTGGTACAGGAACTGAACAGCAACAGTTGTTCTTGCAAAATTCTGATTCTCCAGTTCAGCTACTTGTGCAGGGACCTTTACACCGTCATGGATCAGAGTCTGGGAATAAGATTCCTACATGCAAGACACTAAATGGACAAAAAACTACATGTGCTACTACAGGCTCCCCAAATGTTTCTTTGGTTGCAGCCAGTTCAGCAAATACTCCAATTTCAAGCCTCGAAAAAAAGGAAAAAAAAGAACTAAAGCTAAAAAAATCTTTGAAAGTGAAAACACGTTCTGGGAGAATTTCACGGCCTCCAAAATATAAAGCTAAAGATTACAAATTCATTAAAATGGAGGATTTAGCTGATGGTCATCAGTCTGATTCCGATGACTATTCTGAACTAAGTGTTGAAGAAGATGAAGAGGGAAAGGCAGAAGGAATGGATGCTTTGTTCAGTGTTTCAAATTATAATCTGAAACCCAAAAAGTTTAAATGTCAGATTTGTGAGAAATCATATATAGGAAAGGGAGGATTAGCGCGACATTATAAACTTAATCCAGGTCATGGACAACTGGAGTCTTCACAGCAAAAACTACCTTTGAATAAGACTAATGGAAGTGTGTTTGTGTTTGTGGAGAATGCTGGAGGAAAAGAAGATGAAAGTGTGAGTCCGATGCTCTCAGAACCAATTACTGTCACTTTAAATAATGAAAATGCACTAGCCAGTGGTTTTGAAGAAACTGCTTCCTCACAGGGTGAACAACAGGTAAAGGAGTACTTTTTCTGGGTTATACTCCATTTCATAAACAGTATAGTTACAATTTTATATCCAGATAAGTTGCAGTTTTAGAACCATGATATGGTACTTGTTACATTTTTATTTGTGTGTTGATACTGCTTTCAAAACTAAGAACACTGTCAGCCTTAGATGCACAAAGGTAATGGTAAAAACCAGTTTCTGGAACTGGGGAACGGGGAAAAAAAGAACAAAATCTACATGAAGTGTTATATAGATTTAGTTAATCTGTGCAGCAGTTAAAATACTCTGGTGATGGAGACTTCAAAATAAATGAAGATAATTTTTTGAGTTACGTTTTGCTGTAAAATCTGCAGAGTTTTTGATTTGACCATTATAGTGCTAATTTTTTGTCCCCATATATTTGTGTAGACAATGAGCCACACAAACTTGCCCCTCTTAACTTCCCAATTTATATTCTACAAATGGACTTATTTTTGAACACTTGAGATGCTATCGAGATGAATCATTGAATCATAGAAAGTTAGGGTTGGAAGGGACCATAGGAGATCATCTAGTCCAACCCCCTGCTCAAAGCAGGACCAGCCCCAACTAGATTATCCCAGCCAAAGCTTTTTCTGGCCGGGTTTTGAAAGCCTCCAAGGATGGACCGTCCCTCACCTCTCTGGGTAACCTATTCCAGTGTTTTACTCCCCTCCTAGTGAGAAAATTCTTCCTGATCTCTAACCTAAACTTCCCTTGTTGCAACTTGAGACTGTTGCTTCTTTTTCTGTCATCTGTCACCACTGAGAACAGTCCAGCTCCATCCTCTTTTGAACGCCGCTTCAGGTAATTGAAGGCCGCTATTAAGTCTCCTCTTAGTCTCCTCTTCTCTAGACTAAATAAACCCAATTCCCTCAGCCTCTCCTCATATGTCCCCCAGCCCCCTCACCATTTTTTTTGCCCTCTGGTGGACTCCAGTTTGTCCACATCCTTTCGGTAGTGGGGGACCTAAGACAGAACACAGTACCCCAGATGTGGCCTCACCAGTGCTGAATAGAGAGGAAGAATCACTTCCCTGGACCTCCTGGCAACACAGCTACCAATGCAGTCCAGTATGCTGTTAGCCGCCTTGGCAACAAGGGCACACTGCTGGCTCATATTCAGCTTATTGTCCACTGTAACCCTCAGGTCCTTTTCTGCAGAGCTGCTGCCCAGCCAGTCAGGCCCCCAACCAGTTCTGGTGCATGGGATTGTTCTGTCCTAAGTGCAGGACTTTGCACTTGTTGATGACATCTTTGGGCCACAAAACAGTACTTTTATTAACACTGCAGGTAGATAAGAGGGGTGGCAGCAATGGTCCGTGCTTCAAACTAAAACTCAGTCAACTAAAATTAATTTGGTACCTTTTCTCTATCCTCTGAATAAAACTGCCAACAATTTGGGAAGGCCATGTTCATTGGCATATCAGGAGTTATTGAAAATAAAGGTTGAAATGCATTAAAAGAAAGTTTAAACTACTGTACTTTGATCTATCATTTTATAAAAATCTAAATCTTTGGGACACTCACTTCACTTGCATTATTTCTCTTATACTAGCTAAAATAAAATGGCTTTCATTGAGCGATCCTTGGACTCTGTTTTGCTAGCTGTCCATGAATGTGTTGTGTATTTAGGAGTCCTTGTAACTTCATTTAGGATAATGGCTCTTCTTGAATTCCTGCACTCAGGTTGTCTGTTTCTGCTAGTGCAGCTGATTTTTCCATTTGCATTGTGACCTCAGTAACATTTAAAAATTGAGAAATGTAAGATTCAGGGTATTGTAAACTTGAAGACTATGTGGACTGTCCACTTACTGAAGCATTTTTGGGGAAGGCTGCTGATAGGCATCTGGAACAGTGAATGAGTGTTTCTGTTTCTTTGATTTACTGTCTAAGTTAGTTTGGGTGTGGAGACACGTAACACTTGAACTGTTCCAAAATGTCACTGATTGTGTAATACTGGTTCGCAGTGGTCATAGGGCAGTGTGTGGGTACAAGTATAGTGTTCTAGCATTCCCACTGGAATGGTTGCCTTTTAGATGTTGAAGTGCTGTGACTCCAACAACCACAGGTAGAAGTGAATACACAGTACAGCATGTCTCAGTGAGTGAGTGAGGAAGGGCTGGGGTGGGTAGTTCTTGCACCCATACTTTAGGGATCCTAGGGGGTGTTTTCACTTCTCTTCTACGCATAAGTTCAGTAGCTTTTGCTTGACCAACTCTGCATTATTCTTGCCTGGCTTGTGGTGCCCAGGAGGAAGGGAGTGCTTGGATCCAAGTTTTTGGGTTCCCAGCGGCTGGGGGGCAGGGAGGGAGGAAGGAGGCATGACGAAGAGCCTTGGTGTAATAGGGAGTGAGAGCAAGCTTTTATTGACCAGGCAGTGCAAGGGAGCTCATTGACTAGAAAGTGAAAACAAAAAAGGGGAGAGAGGGGGACATGCAGTAGTGTTCTATCTGTGTACCAGAGGCCAGTTACAACAGTGAGGATGAGGATCTGAAGAGCAATACAGTGTAGGATGCTTGGACACATAACGTTGACCCACTTCAAAAGAGTACTAGATTTTACAGATGTACTTTTGAACCATTCCAGACAGCTTTTAAACTAGTTCAACAAGCTTGTACATCTGTCCCTAATCTTTGTTATCATTTCTGATTATCTAGTATTGCATCTATAGTGAGTCTGTTATGCCAGATCTTAATGTTGCTGAGTGGTCCTTGTCTTCTTATAAGAGTATTTATGATGGCAACCAGAGATTTTTGCCTAGTGTATCTAACTGTTAGTTTGAAGCAAAATCATCTATAACCATTTTGTTTCATAATTTAAAAAAGTTATGGTGGGTGGATCTTACAGAAGCAGCTGTATTTCTAGCCTCTCTGATTTTACCCAGTACCTATGCATGTATCTAACAGTACTGAAATTGTATAGTAAATGAGACTAATGTGAGGCTTAATAATTTCACTAGATACTTTGGAGAAAGGAGAAAAGGTTTAACTACTCTTGTTTTGCCTTTGTTAAGACTGGCAAATCTTCTGAAGACAAACACTTGTTGGCAACACAGCAAACTGAGTCTGGATTAGTACACCGGGGACCTGGAATGCAGAAAGGACCTGGAAGACCCAGGCGGCCTAAAAGACGTGGCCGGCCAAGGATGGCTGGAAGATCAAGGTGTTCAGGAAGACTTAGTAGATCTGGTCGGTCCCCTTCAAAGTCGCTTAATAATGTGTCGACAGACCATGTATTTAGAAGAAAAGCTAGGTTAAAAGAGGTAGGGTTCTCTTTTGCAGTTGCTTCATATGTATCAATTTGTCCACCTGCTTCTAAGCTGACTTTGTTTTTGGCAAGAATAGTTTTCAAGATGTTGCTGTGTGTTTGGCTTTTTGGAAATGTTTTAATTGACGTTTAATCCAAACTTATGGATCAAGTTTATAAAAGGCATTGACATTTGGCACAAGTGGCTTCTTAGTATTGGAGTGTTCTTGGTAGTCTTGTTCTTGAGGGGAAAAAATTACTGGAGCCACTGTCACCATGTATATGATTATTAAAAATATGCCCAGCCAGAAGTGAGTAAACTTGAACAACCTTAAATTCATTTTAATTTCTTGTGCATTATGTTTTGAAGTTTTATTTGTAGTTGCATAGTTTTAATTGCTAAGGTTTACTTTTCTTTCTTTTTAGACTTGATATTATTACAGACTTGCTCAGACACTGAGCATTAGCTGCAAGTTTGAACAAAGTAGACAAGACCCTTTACAACTGCTCTAAACTTTGGCAGTCAACTCTTTTATTTTTAATGTTTATATTTATTCCTAAAGTTACTTAATTTTATTGATCTTGTAAGGGGCAGTGAATTGATTGCTGACAAGTGGTGTTTCTTATAAAGACTGCTTTACAGGAACTGGAGATTTACACTCAGCTTTATGGCCTCATAATAAAACACTTGCATTCATCATCCAACTATTTTTCCTACCCCTCCTGTATCTTACTGTAGAGAACAGAGGCATCACGTTATGATTTACAAGCTGCTTAGCTTCTGTAGACCCTCTTCCTAAAGAAGTTATTCTGGTTCTTAACAGATAATCCAACAATGTGACAACGAAGACTTAATAGAGCTGGCACTGCCACGCCTTGCAGAATTTGTGACTGTGTATGAATTTTTATTGATGAAGGTGAGGTTTTTTTTCTTTATCATGTACAATTATTTATTTCTTTAAACATGTTGGATGCTGCTTTTTGAGAGTTTCATGGTCAAGTGAAGAGTCAGTACTTAATGGGATTCCAAGGGTGAACTCTAAAGGCTGATAGCTCTCTCAATTTAAAAATCTTACTTGTTGCAGCTGTTTCTTCGGCAGTATTTCTGGAGGCGTCAGAGTCCTTTCTCTACTTGTGTGGTCCCCAAAGTTAGCAAAATTAGAATGAAGAAAATGTTGGTTGGACAAAATGAATTAATAATGTATTTTATTTATTAGTTTAATTCATCTTATTTTGCTTATTTTTATTTAGGTTGAAAACGGTTGCCCAGCAAGAGCGTTTTTCCCAGATGTGTACAAGGAATTTGAAGAGTTACATAATATGATAAAGAAAATGGCTCAGGACCATCTCTGTAGTTCTGATTTTCTGAGTTCCCAGCAGCCTATTGAAATAAAAAATCCCAAGGTAATAAAAGACACATTTTGGAATTGCTTTATCTGTTCAGCTGTGTTCTACATCTGGCTTGTTCTTCACTAAAACACTATAGCCTAAATGGTGATGCTTGAACAGAACACTGATTTTTTTTTTTAAATATAAAAAAATGGAGATATGTGCATACTGAAAAATAAATAACTGAACACCTGAAGTAACACTTCACTCAGTAATCAGAAGTATTTGAGTAAACTACAGTCTCAGCTTATACGTGAACATAAACAGCTTAAATTCAAAACATTGTATTGCTAAGCATGGTTCTTAGATAGTAGCACTAACAGAATCCTGTTCTGTGTTTGTTTAGAAAAGAAATGGCCGTGGTGTGAGGCGTTTATCTCGATTAGTAAAATAAGTCCCCCTCTGTCTGCCAGAGATGGGAAAGGCCCCCTAATGCTTGTTTCCAGTAAACATTACTGAGTTTCCCAGCTCCCAGCAATTGACCAGGTACATGGAGATTTAGATGAAAGTTTTCACTAAATTATGAAATTTGGTGAACTCTTTAATATAAAAAACACTTAATAAAGACCACTTCAACAGCTCTTACAAATTTTAATGAATCTTTATACAGATCATAATGTACACTTGGTTAGAGAAATTCAAACATGGCCATCTCTAATATTTGATCCTGCAGCTTGGAATGAAATGGCTGGATGACTAATACATATTGCTTGGTTTAGCATGCTGTTCAGTTTTCAGCAGTGAATTGCACAGTTTGTAACACATTACTGCCAGCGAAACATTTTAAGTGCAGATATTCTGAGTGCTCCATAAGGTGCAAGACTCTCCACCCAGAAGCTTATGGTTTGAAATGAGATGCAGATATGACAGTGAACATACTGGAAAGCCCAGGGGAGGGAGAGAAGAGGAACATATTTTTACAAATAGAGTAATTCTACAGAAGAATATAATTCATTATGCAGTTTTTAGCACTAAGTGAATATTTATCTGTTTTTCAGAATAACTTATGATATATTTGAAGTGTATACCAGAAGTTTGCCTTGTGTTGTTATTGTGTGTGTTCATCTGACTCCATCTCTTATGGTCAACAGGGATGTTTCTTCTATGGAGAAATTAAATTGTACCAATTTAAAGGGGATATTTTCAAAGTTGGTAGGCACCAACTTACTTTTCAAATGCATGTTGTCATGCTGTTTTAACAAAAATAAACCGTAATGGGAAACCCTATAGTGACAAATCAATGTATTCACTAAATAGAGTGAAACTTGGTAAGAGAACACACTTAGTCCCCAGCAACTAAGAGATGTATGGATAAAGAATTCTCCCTGTCTTGTATTAAATCATGAAATAGCCTTGACAGTGTTCTTAACAATCTATTTTTCATTCACTGATAGCCGTTATATAGGTTATAATTTGTTGACATGGAGGCTAGTTGTAGGAGTGGCTGTGGTGTAATATATTTATACCCATACCTATCAGTTTGACTGATAGACTGCATCCCAGTATGCACATCTTTCTAGACTGGTTTTAGGAACATAACTAAATATAGAAATACTGAAAATTTGAAAAATCACATTTAATTATAATTGTTTTATAGGTTGCTGAGTCACTAGGAATTACAGAAAAAATTCTTGAAAAGCAAACACAAGCTGCAGATTCTTCCCAACAATGTACTATTAAAACAGTGGCTGAGCAAGTGCCTGCTGAAATAGTGGGACAAAAAAGAGTAATTGAGGTATGGAATATTTGTGACATTAATATGTAAATTAAAACCTACACATTAAAACTGATTTAAAATATACTAATAGTTAAAGCCACGTAACGACCTTTGGACTCTTTAAAGGGATGTCCCATAAGCAACTCTGTTTTGAGTTTGTAAATACTTAAATATGCTCCAACTTAGTCCTATTTAAAAGACATCAGAGTATGTCAGAGCTTTGTTGTGTCTCCCCTCACTCACTGTTTAAGGCAGGACAAGGTGGCATCTTAGAGACTTAACTTACTCAGAAATACATAAGTTTTCATAAGGGACAGCCTACTTCTCAGATGCAATGAATGGACTTCCAGAGGACAGGGGTATTAAATAGAATAAAATAATTTTAAATGCAAAGGATGGGGGAAAGGGGCACTGCTGAGAGAGTTGCATTGAGATTGGAAGATAAACAGCAGCTAACCTATTGAGGGACATAAGCATTAAACAAAAAATCTACTCTAGGTAAGGAAAAAGACTCTAGAGTCTCTGTTTAGACCATACATAACACAGTCCAGTCAGTGGATGATTTCTTGTTCTGCAGTTTTGCATTAAAGTCTGTTCTTAAACTAAACTTTAAAGACAGCTACTCTGAGGTCAGTGGTGGTAGTACAGGGAGATTCAGGTGTTCTGCCATGGGCTTTTGGTGTCTTTCTGGAATTGAGGTCAGATCAGTGTCCATTCATTCTTTCCTCCTTTTCGCCCTATCTTTTGTATTTAATCTTTTCTGTTTAGTGCTCCTGCTCTTTGCAAGCCTTGACTAAATAAGATGTTGCCTATAAAAGCCCATGCCTCTCTGAATAAATTAGTCTCTAAGGTGCCACCCTACATTGCCTTCTGCCTGACTTCAGACTAACATGGATAAGAAACTCTCACTGCTGAAGGGTATGGTCTGGTCAGGATCTTGCAGGTTTCCATGTTGTATCCTCCTGCAGTGGAGAAGGGCTCTGCCAAGTGGATATTGGGGTTTGGGGACTTCAGGTTCTAGTATCTTTGTTGTAGAAGACTGGTTAGCCAATTCAAGTTATGGGGAGAGGTAGATGCATCAGCTGACTTAGTGGCTAACAGAGGTGCATGTAACCAGCCCTTTGGCTAGTCTCATCTTTTCAAAAGCCTACTTGATCTGTTGTCTGTAGCTGTAGTAGAGAGGTTTCCTTTCTCCCTCTGATGGTAGCATCTATTTCTCCTCACCTTCAAACCTCAGTCCAGAACTGTCTTTGGTACTAAGGGTAGCTCCTTCTGTTTTTTCTGTCTGTGTTTAAATTTGGTACTGGTCAGTTTTCCAATCCCTATCTGAACTGCTCAGTAAAGGGCTGTAAACTCCCTGTCCTGAAGCTGGAGAGGAGCAGGAGGTACCCTTCCTAGATGATCCCATCCATAATCTTGCCAGTAAGGTTCCTCTGAGAGGAGACCTTTAGTAATTACTTTTGCTTCATGAAAACAGATGCCAAAACTAATTAAAAATAAATTTAAAAAAATGGAAAATGTACCACCTTATGTTAAGAATTTTCTTTCATAACTTCCTTTGTAGCAGAATCCTAGTATGTTGTAGGTGACAATTCATTATGATGTTTGTCCCAGAGTTCATACTGGAAAAATGTCAGTTTGTCCATATTTGTAAGTAACATCAAATTAACTAGTTCGTATGTTGACAGAATTCAGGTGGGGAACTGTTGCCATCAGCCAAGAAGACCAAAGTAGAAGACCCATCAGGGAATATGAATGATGTTTATGCTAATCAAAATGGAGTAAAGCAGAAGAGTGGGAGCTTGAAGACACTGACTATAAAAGATGGTATTGTTTTCCTTCTAACTTGCCAGCACTGTCTGTTCTTTGTGGAACTGAACTAATTCCTTTATCTTGCACCTCTTGCCCATGATATGCTGCCTTAACTTTTAGTTTTGCATGCTTTTTTTTTAGGTTGTTGAGTAATAACTGTTCAGCTGGAAAGGTGGAGGGTTGGTGGGAGTGCAGATAAGAGTTGTATGGGATATACACTTTTGTGTTCTCTCTGGTCTTATGTAGCTGTTCCTTTGTTGATGGTACAGAATTCTTGCTGCTGATCTTATTTTCTTTACATTAGATTTTCTGTTGCACAAAAACAAGTGTGTATTCCTGTTAAATCTGAAGAGGGGAATTTGGTTAAATTTGGGTGAGCGCGCGCGCGCACACACACACACACACACACACACACGGTTTCTTTACTAAGTTCTAGTCATTTCAGAGCTGCAAACTAACAAATGGTAATGAGAATTACAGGGGTCACAGAAAGAAACCAGTTTAACTTTGATCTAGAACTATTTCAGGGTAGGCAGGAAGGAAAAATCATCTTCTCTGTAACCTAAGGACATATGGTATAAAACCGTGATGCTACATCTAGAGGTCCCCTCCTTCTCCACCAGGCCCCTCCACCTCCCAAAAGAATGGCATTTGTAATTTTTAATACATTTTTGCACTGTTTTATGCTATTTCCCACGTGTTTGAAAAACCATCAACATGCCTGGAGGAAAGGGAAAATTGGTTAGCATCTTTACAAGATTATTTTTTTGAAAATGGATTTTGTGAGTCTAAAATCTGATCAATGCACAATATGTTCTGTTTTCTTTCAACTGTTAAGGTTTTAATCCACTAAATGGAGAGACTGTACACTCTGAGGACAGAGGTATTACTCATTGCACAGTTGGACTTGCATTACATGAATCGTTTGCTGATTTAGAAACTAGATCTGTCTCTGCAAGTTCACATGTCCTCCCTCAGTCTATGGAAATGAGGATGGAGTACCCCCAACCTGTAAGCACACAGGGACCGAACAGTACAGGTAATGTATCTCCACCACACACTGAAGCCTTGCTGCCTGTTGTGACAGATCATTCACCAGAGGAATTTGTTGAAGCACAGTTTATAAATGAGAGTGCTGGAGGCAGACTGACAAGTTCTGAATTTTGTAGTTCCATGTTATCAGACATTGTGATGGACAGTCAGAGTTCTAACTTGTCAGTGAGTGAACAAAATGATTATAACGGAAAATTCCAAAAACTTCAGCAAGAAGAAGAAATCCAGAATTATGGCATGACTAACAAACATTCCCAACAACTTAATGATACTAATATAGCTGAACAGATGCAGCACCTTGAAAAAGTTTTTTCAACTAGTATTGTGCCAATAGACCATCCATGCAGGACTCAGACTGAACCACATGACAGTCCTGTACAGGAATCCTCCATAGCCACCCAGGTGAATCATGGAAGTCCATTAAAAAATGTAGATGAATTCTCTTGTGAGATAGAAGAACAGCATACTGGACCACATGAGCTAGAGAATGTGGTTACTGTAAGCGAAACTGTAGCCTTTGAGATTACTGATGAGAGCCATGAATTTTTGTCTCAGGGACATGAACAGATCTTTATTCAGACTTCAGATGGGCTTATATTGTCCCATCCAGGTACCGCTGTTCTGTCTCAGACAGAAGGCATAGTTATTGTAACCGATGCTGATGGTACCACAATGCACATTCGTACACCTGATGGGGTCCCTTTCGAAACTGTGGAAGCACTACTTGCAATGGAAGCAGATGGCCAAAGTGAAGATATTTTGCTCTCACATAGTGAAGAGGAGCCATAAATTAAAAAAAAGAAGAATCCTATTTATACATGCTTTCTTCTGGAAAAGACTCTATCAAATGTATATTTTTCTAATGTGAATACTGGAATTGAGATTTAACTTATTTGTAAACTGTTTCTATGACCTGTACTTTTTATATAAACTTAAGTTATAAAATTAGCCACATTACAACCAAAAATTCTAAGGAATATTTTTTTTTTTAATTCTATTTGCTCTTAATATGTGTCTGAGGGTGGAAATACGTTGACCCTGATTTTGTTGCACTATTTCTCTTTTGTTACATACTTATTCTTCTCTCTGGCAAATAGAAACATGGTATAATATATTGCACTGTTCTTGACAGTGATGTGCTATATGCTGGCAGCCTGTATATGGGATAAATAAAAACTATATTAAAAAGAGTTGTGTTTTCTAACTACAAGAGGTTTTGTAGCTTTGTAATTGCTGTTACTTAAAAATATTCAAGGTGATGTAACTTACAAGTACATGTGAATTTAACTGTGAAAAAGGGTAACTTCCATAAAGAATTAATATTTCTGCATTCCAAGGAAATGTTCATTTTCAAAACTGGAAAGTCAGGGCATAATTTCCCAGAAGAATCTTCAGTTCCCTTGATTTTTAAAGTGTCAAAGGAGCATTTTAATACTGTAGAACCCTGAAACTATGTCTAATTTCTACTAACCACTTGAAAAATATTGAATATTTTTTTCTTAAAGTACAATAGAAAGGCCATATTTTCTTTTGACTGTTATGCTGCATGCAGCATCCTACGCTGTAGGACGATCAGCTGGAGGTTGCTTATCTGAGTTATTTTAATGCGATAGCAAATTCTCCTTTTTTCCAGAGGGGAAAGAGAACCCTGGAGAGAACCTTGTGTAACATGCCACCCAGGATCCTGCCTCTTTTGTCACTACTAAGTAAATAGTTTGTGCTAACAAAGCAGAGCATGGTCCCCTGGACCACTTTTTTATTCATCATCTTTAATAGTGGTGTGTTGTTCTCCTGACTACAACATGGTGTTTATCCCATTTTTGAAGCGTGCTAAGAGGCTAACAGAAATCACTGTCAGTATCCTCTCTGTTCCTCTCAGGGTTTGGGACTGGAGTGAAATTAAATTAGCGTTTAGTGGATCTAATGAATAAGAAAAGTCTGTTCATGGTTTATTCCAGTGTATCTCAACACCTGTCTGAGGCTGCTGAAAAAACAAAGAGGGCTAATTGCCTGTAACACAGTTAAAAAAAGAAAAAGGTTAAGTGGAATGTAAACAACATCCAGCTTTCTCAATACCAAGGCAAAGTTATGAGTGAAAGACATCAGGCTAAAGTTGAATTCATCCAAGTAAGACAGAAATGGCAAAAGACAGATGTTTAGAAGAGCTTGTTAAATTGGCCTGTAGCTTTGGAATCCTATCCGGACACTTCACTTATTGTTTAGAAGATCCAGATCTGGATGCTGGGATATTCTGAATGGCAGAAAACTGAATGAAGTATCATAACTGATTTTCCAGCTCCTATGAAATATCTGTGCCCATCTGAAAACCCAGCCTGCTATGAAAACTTTCCCCCGTTCTCCATCAATTCTTCATTGAAGGAACAGCTAATCTAAACTTGGAACATCAAGATGAACCTCCATAGTTGGCACAATGGCCTTTATATTATAGTTTTACTCTAGCAGGGGCTGTCATAATTGGTACACAGCTTCTCATGGAAGTGTGAAAAAGATTCTGTTTTACTGCTAGTCAGGCTAAAGTAGCTGCCAGAGAAGCAGAAGATCCAAGAAAACTTATAAATACCTCCACAGTCTGTGCAGCAGTTTCATGACTTGTAGTTTTTATCATAGAACGGAGTAGAAAGTCATACATAGGTATTGTAGTATTTGTTTAGAGGGAAGTTAGAATAAGTTGGATAGTGATGACTTCCTTTGATTCCTTTCTTTGCTCACTATAGCAATAGCTACCTTTTTATTGTGGGACTGATCCTGCTGCTAGTAAAGTCAATGGAAGGCCACAGTGGATGAGAAACAGTATCTAAAAGTATTTGTGGGGGCTATACTATGATAGCAGTATAGGCCTCACGTGACACTAGTCCACTGCAGTCTTCTTACATGACTCTGGGGAGGTCACTTAAGCCTATGCTTTCTTTCCCCACTTGTAAAATGCAAATAAAGGTGTTTGCCTGCACTACCTGGAATGTTGAGGGAAAATGTATTTGTGATCATCAAAAAGGACTGTGACGACAGTGCTGGGTGTAAGTAGAAAGTTTGTCACTTCATATGGAAGCAAAACGAAGCAAACAACAAACAAAACAAGTAAATGCAGTTCGAGGAAAATAGTATTTTAATAATTTCTATTAAAATATAATGTACTTAATGAATGTTGTGGTCTGCTGCAGTTGCTGTTCCACAAGAAACAAGATTTGCAAATCTTATTTGAAATGCTAGATTGGTCTGTGTCCTGTTTCCAGCAACATGCTTTCTAGTAATAGTTTGCTGCTGCTCTCAATGTAGGGCTGGTACAACCATGATGATAAATACACCATCATAAGATCCTCATCAGCAGTATGAGCAATCTCTTGCACAATTGTCTGCTTTAGCTGTAGTTCCTCCTTGTACATCTCAGAGAGCTTGAAAGAAGTCTCATCTGAAATGGATTGAAAAAGTTACATGTGCCTCTTCTGATTATATAACACATCAGCAACTCTGAAAAGGTAAGTAAATCAATACTGGTTCTATACTAATTGTTCTTAAAAAAGCTGGATGCTAAAAGTATACAAGCTTCCTCCTCTTTACTGTGTAAGTCAAATACCCTGATCTTTATAACAGTTAACAACATGTCTATGGATTGAGGCAGGACTGTCTAACTTGTGAGTGGCCAGGGGCCGCAAAGCCCCTAGACCAGGGGTAGGCAACATTTTTTGGCTGGAGTGCCGAAAAACCTATAATGCCTACCTCGGAAGGTCCCGGGGTGCCGGCATGCCAGAAAAACAGGTTCTGGGTAGCTGCTGATGGCCACGGAGCCCGGGCTGCTTGCAGCAGGGCTTCCATCCTCCCAGACTAGTGCTGGGAGTAGCCCAGGCTCCATGGCTATCAGCAGCTACCATGAACCTTTGTAGCTGGGAGGCTGCAAAGAACTGCTGCCTCCCCACCCTGGCCCTGGCCGTCTCCCTGCCCTGGGCTCTGGGAAGATGGCAGGTGCTGGTACTGCGCCCATTGGGGCCGGGGCCCGCTGGCAGTGAGGGGCTGGGGCTGTGGGGCCAGGGCCACTCAGCAGCTTCGGGCTGGGGCCCACAGGCAACACGGGACTGGGGCTAGAGCCTGGCCATGGGCAGCATAGGGCTGCGGGCGGAGCTGGGGCCAGGGCCTGCTGGCAGCACTGGGCTGGGCCCTCCGGCAGCACGGGGCTGGGGCTGCAGCTAGGCTGTCGCTAAGGCTGGGATGGGGCCACCGGCAGCACTGGGCTGAGGCTGGGGCCGTGCAGGCCTGGGGGTTGTGGCAGTGGTGGTGCCAGTTGGCGCTGGGCCTGCGCAGGGCTGGGGCCCACCAGCAGCATGTGGCTGGGCCCTTTGGCAGTGCTGGGATGGGGCTGGGTCCCGCACAGGTCCATGGCCCCAGCCCTGACCCCGGTCCCATACCAACGCTGCTGACGGCTCCGGCCTGGCAGTGGCCCTGTGCTGGGGCCTGTGGTGGGGGGGGGGGGGGGC